TGGGCCAACAGCCCTGTTTTTTTGATGGCTAAGGTAGGCAAGAGAGGCAAGTACATATGGAAAAGGCTTTCGCAACTGGAGCAGTGTCCTAAGGATCCCACCGATGTTCCAGATCCAATCAATAATAGCTTTCAAATTGACGTTCCCGCAGATGCCATTGACCCAAGGCTCTATTTCGGACTGTATGAAGTCTGGAGTGGCAAATGGAAGGGAGGTTTGCGAATCCATGGTGCAACTGTCAAAGAAATTCAGGCTTCTGCGTCACGATAATTGAACTCATAGCCTCCTAGTTTAATTAAGTTGTGTGTTAGTTTGTCTGTTTGATTTTTTTTTTTTCCCTCTTTTTATGGCATTTGTGTCTGTTCACACGTACTCAGACTGTTCCTTGAAATATAACAAAGATGGTCTATATGATATTTGTAATAAATGAATAAGTAAATGGAAAAAGTTGCTGCTCTCTATATGATTCTGGTTTCTAAAATGATCCTGGTTCTTGAAATCATTTCAACTTCAAATTTATTATCTACTTATATATACACAAGGTTAATGTATCATTTTACACTCTTTATACTATGTAATATGTACAACATTTAATTTTTCAAATACTATCTTACTTCTTCGAATGTTTGATATTTAAAACTTTCAACAATTTGCATCCTTAAATCTCTAACTATTAGATAATAGCTAATGATACAATTATGTTTAGTTCTCAAATTGGATGGATAAATAGGCAGTACATAGAATGTACAAAAATTAAAATAAAACAATAATTAATATATTTTTTGGTTCAATATATTTATTAAAAAATTATTATTTTTAAATTTAAATTTAAAGTGAGAAAATTTTTAACATTTTGAATTGCTGAATCGATAGTTGTTATTAGTGCGTTGAATAAAAAAATATATTAATTATTTTTAATTAAAATAAAATATAGATCTTCAATACTTTACTTGGTCAGTAAGTAAAATAAGTTTGTTTCGTAAGATTCAATTCCTGAAGAAGTTTGAGGATCCTACGGTGAGCTTAGCCTTGGCGTGGCCTGGTGACTTCTGAACGTGTCGGTGATGCCATATTGAGCCATCATGAGCCAGACATGAGTGAGAAGCTCACCACTTTGCTTCAGCTGCTGATCAGCATGGCGGATTCCGTTGCACTAACTTGCTGCATAAGCCAACATCTCCATCCAAATGTCATTAACCGTCCTCCATTTTGCCTCTTTGCTCTTGATCCCACTCAACGAAAATGCCAGCCTACAAGCATGAAACAACACAGATTTGCCGTCCCAGTAACATCTATCCTTATCTGCGGCAACATTTTTTTTGGGCAAATGGAAATAGGGTTGAGAGTACGTGCAATTCTTCTGTTGGACCACATAACCGAGACTCCTTCCAAATAAAATAATAGATTTTCTTTCATTTTATCTCTAAATTAAGAATTTAAGGATAATTTTATATTTTACATATTTTATTCTAAAAAAAAAGAGATTTTTTAATGATAAGGTAAATAATTAAAGTTAAGGGATAATAATAAAATAAAAATAAAAAAATATTTATTTTTTTAAAATATAAAAGAAGATAAGACCAGTGGAACGAATCAAGGGAGGAGTTTTGGGATTTGGAGGGGGGGGTGTGGCGTGGGGAGATGGGTTGAGGGGGCCACTAACTTTTTGAAAACTTAAAAGTTTAGTCCCCTAAATTTTATTCATTTTTTTATCCTAAATAATCTAGAAAATATAGATAGTAATAAGAAAGATAAAAAAAGATTAATTAAATGAAAACTTATTTGGTACTGTCCTTTCATAAAATATTTATTAATAACTCTTTACTTTTATTTTTTTAATTAGTACGAATAGTGTTTTTTTATTAATTAATTTTTTTTTTTGAACATTTTGATAAGGGGTGGATTAAAAAACCCACCCAAGGAGAGAGAGAAATACACCGGCTAATTGGCTAATGTCAGTGGGCCTCTAGGGCTAAGTGCATTCTTTTATTAATT